CTATATTTGCTATAACAATCGACTACGTTACTTTAGTTTTCGCATTTAAGTATTGTTTCGAAGTATTGTGGGAAAATTCTTCTACCAGTCCTACATCACCTTAAACGAAATTGGGTTAATACATCTCATATTACCGATTTACTAGTAATCTCGAAACAATACTTAAATGCGAAAAATAAATTATATTTATTTTGGTAGGTCCCCGAAAGTGGCTATTAGAGCGATTAAAACTACTCTCTCTTTAGAGATTTATTGGGATAATCTGGTGCTGTTAAATTACTGCCAATTTTGATTAAACAGGCATGAGTCTTTATCTGCAAAACCACGGATAAAATTGCTTATATCTACAGACATATGGTTATTTTAAGCAATACTAAAATTAAGCTGTCAATGCTTAATCCGTATGCACTCTTTCAGGCACAAGATACAGGTTGCATGTGTGTGATCATAGACGTGATCCGAGAAGTATATGCTTGGCCACGAGATTCATGCGGTGCACATACCGAACGATGATAAGGAAAACTACATCGTTAAGTTAATTTTTCATCTAACTTGAGGATTCCAGAATCCGGGAGCCTACTAAGTGAGGCTGGAGTATAAGTGCTATAAAAGATTGTTAGGGGGACCTTCGTTTCAAATGAAAGTGCATGAAGAAGATATTAGTATCTGCTATAAAAGAATTGAGGCAAAGTGTAGAAGATAACGCCTTAAGTAGAAGGGTTGTGATGACAGTGATGGAAGGAAATCACTGAACCAGGGAGATAAGAGACCGATCTTACGAAGCAGGAAAGAGGTTCTGATAGGACCTGGATGAAGGGGATCGCAGACTAAAAGGGCTAAATTAAATAAATGCTTCTAACTCAGTGGGAGGGAATGAGGGAACCAGCAAGGAGTGTAAAAAGGCCTGACTAAATCCACTTAGAAGGAAGCACCTGGACTAGGTTAAAATAAGCAAAAAATTGTGATGATGAAGGCAATACGAGGATATAGGATAGGTGGTAGGAGAGATACCACAACTGTTTGGCAGTGAGTTGATTAAAGGGTCGACTTCATTTGTTCCTTCAACGAGTTGTATTGTGGTGCTATACTGGTAAGGCTTACTAAAGATGCCAGCGAAACGTCTAGGAATGTCCACGATTCAACACTTTAAATGATCAAGGACATTGTTATAGAGGACTCCGGAGAAGGTGTGTTCCTCTAGGTCTCTCAGGCAATACGGCCAAGTTGCAAAAGAGATGTAAAACTATCACAAGTCTTGCTTGCTTGAGCTACTTACTAAAGGAATCTATTTATGACTCAGGATTAAATATAAAGCACAGGAGAAAATGAGTCAATTAAAGTACTATAAGTGGAACAAATAAAGCCCACTATTGAGAAAACTAGAAATTTTGAGAGCCAAATATCGCCTAAAAGTAATTATCAGAGGCGGTATATCGTTAGGACTAACATTTCGCCCAAAAAGCATCAAAGCGACTTAAAAAACAACGAATGGACACTCATTGGTTCATAAATCCCCGTAAGCATTTGTTATTCCCGCTATGAGGCTAGAGCTACTGGAAGAAGGTTGCTAGAACAAATGAGTAGAAAGAACTTTGGGGCTCAGCAAGAGCTTTCGCAGCGGCACTGCCACCATGATAAGACAAGGATAAAAGTATGCATTAGTTTGCTCCTATTCCTAGGGTGAAAAAAAACACTGCAAAGGATAAGGTATTGACTCAAGACTCTTCTCATATAATAGGACAAATGGCTGCAAAGTCAAATATGATTAAAGCAGAATCATTCTTGCAAATTAACAAACTAGTTTTGAATGTAGCGTTTGGACATTAATGACAAGTTAGATGATGTAAAGTGCTTTACAAAAAGAATCAAAATATAATTGTGCCTGATAACAGCTTTTAAGAAGAATTGTTCACAACGGCTCGTTAACATAATTTAAATCTTACAATATTGAGGCTATAGATTCCAAATAAATAAAATTTGCAAAATATGTCAAGCAAATCAGAAGCAAAAATTCTCTCGCGAAAAAAGTCATAATGACTATCTATATTGTCTGTATTAAATGAAAATGTTAGTGCCACATACCCGAGACATCTCGACTCCAGGATTGGCCTGCACAATCAGATGCAGGCCGATTATAGCATCCATACTAGCCTCTGGTCTGCACTCGCCGGCTTCCGTGATGCGGCCTAACCTGCGATCAAAGTCAAAAGCAGCCTGTATACGAAGAAGCCAGTCTCTAAATGCATCAAGCCAAAAAAGACCCGATGAACTAGCTAGTAGCCTGATGGAAGCTGTGGATCGCATAACTCTTTGGTCTCCACCGCCGCTTCCACTGGCAATGCTAGTATGCACAGAGTCAGCTCTGCTCATGTGGTCCTGACGAAGGAATACAGTGTCTTGTGTAATTGAAAGCAGACTCTCGTGTAGTTGGCGCAAATGTGACTGACTCTCTGGAAAGTCAACGCCCAGGCCGCGAGTGGCAGTGGCCGTGGCCACGGGCGAAGCGATTTCGCTTTCTTCTTCCGAAACCTCGCCTACTCCTCTTCCCCCTCCAGCTCCACCTCTTCTTCCTCTTTCTTCTCCTTCTGTGCTTCCTTGTTCTTCATCATCTTCGACCTCTCCATTATCTGCAATCCACTGTCGGCCACTTGGAATTCCACTAGTCAATAGCTCTAGACCAAGTGCGTCGGTCCGTGTTTGAGATTTTACTATGCCAAGACCACTAGAGTCATGCCGGGTCTCGGACGGCACTAGATTTAGTGATAGAGTGCCAGGTGTTGCTATTCTAACGCCGGCCGAAAGTGGCTTAATGTCGGAAAGTGCGTCGCCGCCGCGAGTTACTACTTCAAAGTGGAGTAGACCAAAGCAACGCGTATAGGCACGCAGAAAACCGTGTTCGAGGCTTTGACGCGGCAAAAGACGCGACAAAGTCAGTCCTCGGGGTAAACGATCACCAGCACTATCACTGCTACCAGGCTCGCCTCCGTCATCAATGTACTGGACAAGGAAGATCCCGCCAGCCACTACGAGGCCGGCAAGGAAGAGAAGAGAAAGAAGCCGGTGTATAGCTGGTCGAGAAATAAGGCAGGCGGTCAATTGGCTGGCGATCAGTAAGCTCGGAGAATCGGAACAGAAGAGGCGATCATTTCTAGACTGAGACTTGTAGGATGGCTGATGTATGAAAATAAGAAATGAAAAAGAGAAATATATATCAGATAGGTCAACTCATGGTGATCCTCTGTGTTTAATGTACAGAAAACGAAATGCTGGGAATGCGTATTATTATAATAATGACCGACTGGGATAGACAAGGAATTAAAGTATCAAAAAAATTGACCCGATATTCTGCCAGCACTCCATCTTGTGAAATGAATCAGCAGAATTCCGACAACCTTATTTGATGTTATAAGAGAGCAAATACAGTATCTCTTAAGAATGTGTGACTTTTTAAATCTCATTCAAACAAAGTAATCAATTCAACACAAAACAGCATCCATCTGACTATGACTCTTAATTTTTAAAACAATTCTTTACAATTCTTAAGTGATTAAAAACCATTTATAATTTATATAAGCATAACGATAGAAAACTAAAGTATACCTTTAAGTTGTAAACAAATAAATAAATTGTGATATCTTTATTATTAATATAATAATATATTATGTATTATTAATAATTAAGATGAACATCACTTAAACTAAGATAATTCAAAGGAAATAGCAAAAAGCAATACAAGTTTATAAATATATTAATTCTTCAAATAGGCAACAGGGATGTATTATCACGGATAATAGGCCAAGTGTAATAAACTCAATTATATATACTTATCACTATTAGCATTATAATTCGTTTCGATTTTATTAAAATATTAATATAAATAAAATGATAGATAAAAAATTGTTTTTATTTTTGTTGTTGAAATACTCAACAAATCAAGGACACATACTTGAAAATTGTTTTGCCAAACTATAATGGGAAGAAAAGGATAGAAAATAGCTTCTTTCATAAAAGTAGACCCCAAATACAATACTAATGGGGATATTGAGTTATCTTGCAACATAGAAATATATATACACTGAATAGTGAAAAAAATAAAAAATTGAATTATAAAGAAAAGATTAAAATATGTAAGACATATAAACAGCAAATAAAATAGGATAGCTGAGGAATAGTTCACCCGTTCTCGCAGAAAAAACAAAAATACGCCAATTTAATGCCATTAATGAACATACATAAATCCCGGTTTTTATTAATAACACATGAAAAGTTGTAGTCGGCTGACATACGAAATACTAATCTAGGTCACATTAGGTCATTTAAGGTACGGACTAATAATTGAATTTTTCAAAACGAAAAGATACCATCGAGTTCCACTCCAAAAATGTTTGCTCATCTAGGGTGGACCTCACCCAGATCGCATCAACGGCCCTAATGGGAGTCGGAGCCGGTTCTTGCATTAGAAGTTCGGTTCAATTATACTCATAACCTATCCTGCTTGAACTATGAGCATTTTAGGTAAAAATTTAATCAAAATTAAACTCTTGCCACCAAGTATCAAACCAATTGATATTTTTCTGAGTTGTCTAAGAAAGGATTATTTAAAACACTGAGTATGGATATTGAAAAAAAAGTTATTTTTACTTTCATCAGGACTGATCAGATTTGCATAATCAGTAAACCGTTCAGAGAAATAATATGTGAAAGCTGTGCGAAAAGCAGGAGGAAAACCTCATAAATGTGGATTTAAAATTTTTTTCACAATTGCCTAAGACCAAACAACGGGAGGCTTAACTAAAATTCACCCCATACTCCGATTTCACTTTACAATATGTCTCTATTACAATTATGTGTAATTGCAATTATTTTATATAAAATAAAAGCAGAGATATTTTTCAAGAAGATTCTATCCTTACCCCTTTCCCCGATCCTCCAAAAATCGTCCCCTCTTTATCCGACCATGCGTTAACTAACCACCTAATCTCATAACTTCCATCTGCTGAATACCTACGTTCATGCAGGTGGGAGTTCGCTTTCGATTCTTGCAGCACTTGCCTTCTTACCTGTGCGTTGAGACCCTT